TCTTTAGCCCCGCCTACTACCATGAACACTGCGAATGACGTAGTAGATCCCCTACACTCTCAAACTATTAAAATTTCAATATGCATATTTTGCAATAAACTTAATAATATATAGTTTATATATAGCTATAATCATTTAATTTGATTATGCAGTTCGCAATGCTTCATGGGATTGTAGTTCTTTCCCTCACTAAAGCTTTTAAGTACACAGTCTTGCACCTTCGTATTTTTGTCCGACTTTCAAATACTTTTTCCTTCAAATCAAAGTTTGTAGTGTTATGATTCACCTCGTAGCTGGTTGGCTTGGAAATCCCTTTTGTAGAAAGGAATGAAAAAAATACTTCCGAAACCAGTGCAACTAAAAAAGTGAGCGGGCACTCCCTCCCATACATTTTTTCTTGTTTGACAAGCAGTTTCACTCGGATATACGTCACAATAGGGAAGAAAAATCTATCACAATAAAGTTCAACTTTATCTAAGTTCATTACAAGTATAGGCCTAAGTGTCCCTTGTACTCACCAAAAAGGTTTGAGAGGGCCTCCACTCCTCCATTGTAGACCGTGAAGTTACTAGACGGCTCCACGTGCTCCCACAGTGACTGGACGTAGTTCACCGTCTGGTTGTAGCCGCAGGTAGACAGTGCCCACCAGGCTGACCAGATAATCAGCGTACGGGAGGAGAAACACTGCCGGAAATCCCTCCACAGCCGGAGCAGGACATCACCACAGCCACCTGGGATATTATCAGGACAATCAGAACTAAGATCATGTGGATTCATTCAACAGTCATTTTATGGAATCAGCTTCCAATGCAAGACAGTTTATTGTCTTTTATAGAGATGAGCAGTTTGTAGTCCTTAAAATCAGTATGAAATAAAAATTCACCCTTTCTATTTTCTAAATGCATCTTAATGATCTTATTGTGAATGATTCATCCATGCATGTTTCGGCTTTCCGTTACAAAAAAATAATTATACTTCAAGTTCAAGTTCAATTTATTAAGTCTACATAAGTAAAGTTCAAGTATATTTCAGGTTTTTTTGTTGTTGTTGTTGTTTTTTTTTTTTTTTTAAGTGCAAGAACTTAAACTTGCTAACAAGTTGCTAAATAAGAAATATACAACTACCACAAAAAGTTAGATTTGTATACATTTATCTTCACAACTTTAACGAATTTCGAAGCCTAAATTCAATTGTCGGAATTAAACAACTAAAGTTACACTAAAAATGTATATGATCAAAAAGTTATAACAACATATTTTTTAACACTGCTTTAACAGTGTACTTTTTTACTTTTTTAAGTCAGTTTAATGTAATTTAAGTTGAAATGACTTAAAACATCCAATTTGATTGTACTTAAAAATGTAAGGCAGAAACTTTTTTAGGAACTACACCAGTCAAATGACTCCAATAAGCTTCTGAAAACTCTTCCAACAAGTTGGAAAGTTTGAGTTAGAATTGTTTGCAAGAGTGCAAGTATAAATACAACAATGCTGTAAAAGCAGACTACTGAGTAGATGAGTTTTCATGTTCAGTGTGATGTTCAACCTCTGGAAGCTCTGTAGTCCCATTTAGCCACTTGTTAGCAACTGCCTTTTTAAGACACATAAAAGCTTAATAAAATAAGGAGTGGACTATTACTGATGTATTTTTATGTCGCAGAATAAAACATGAAAATATCTTGCACTTGTGTTCACCACAGACCTTATTTCAGGCCTTTAACCAGAAAACCCATTGACTTTTAAGACAATGGATCTGAAAGTGCAAAAATGCATCTTATTTCAGGGTTTAGGACTAATTCCTCCTGACTGAGGCACTCTATTAGCTTCTACCCCATGTGATGTTACTAATATGGCAGATTTGAGTAGTCCTACCTGTCTTGGAACTTTTTGCACTACTATCACAATCATTGAAACCTTCCAGTATTTCCTGCTTCGGTTTGGGTCCATCATCCACCTCTAGGGCATCTTTTTGGTCATTGCTCTGAAGATCCACCTCTGACATAGACCCTTCCTCGGGTTCCAGATGTTTAACTGTCTCAACATGCCCTTCACCATCAGTCTCTCTACTAGCTCTGCTCCTTTGGTGGAAGAACATGCTTGTCTTAGGCATTGGGAGAAGAATGGAGGATATCAACGCAACGGCGGTGAGAACAAGTGTAAACACTAGAATGTAGTTGTAGGACATCAGTTCAAAAGAGACTAGGACCTGGCCTAATACTGAACCCACGGTGTATCCCAGAAGCTGTGCGGTCCGGCAGTATGAGGTGGCTTTCAGGTAGTGCTTCAACTCCACCATGCTGTAGATGTACGTGAAGTAAGCAACGTCACACGACATCACCACTCCATATGTAAACTGCACAGCCTGCATCTCTCGTACACCCTTACACCACAGTATCATTGCCGTGGTGGCAAACAGGACTAAACACTGGAAGACCACCACAGGTTTGTAGCGTAGAAAATCAGTGAGGAGGAAGACAGGAACCAGCACTGTCAGGTAAGAGTACGTCCACACTGGGAATATCTGATTGGTTACCTTGAGGAGGAACAAAAACAGCTACTTTACCACCAACAACAAACAAGATTTATTGCACAAATCTTAATCAGTAATCAAATTGATTCCTGCAACAACAACAAGGAACACTCGTAGCCTATAATTAATTACTATAAATATAATACAAGACAAAATATAATGGAAATAATATAGAAAAAATATTATTATACAAATAATGATATATACAATATGTAAATAAAAATAATTATAATTTTACAATAAATCTATCATGTCACAATTCTGTTACTATTTGAAATGCCATGTCAACTTGTCAAATATAGATTTTTTATAGAATATTATTTATATCCACTATTTTACAGCAGTGTACAGAATGTAGAATTTTATTGCACTAACTCAGTAACTATATCAGAATCACAATAATTGATTTATGCAAAGAAATTCATGTATCCTATAATTAATTAGTATATTTACTAAAGAACAAGAAAAAATATATAAATAATAATATTATGTAAATAATAATATGTACGATATATTAATAAAAATATAATGTAAAAAATGTTTTAAAAAAATTTAATTCTAATTTGAAATATTATTTCTATCCACTGAACATTTTATAACAGTATATATAATATACTTTTTTATTGTACAAATCTAACTCAGTAACTATATCAGAATCACAATAATTTACCATAAAAGGTTATGCTTTCTCTGTAATTCATTTTGCATTTACAGGCAAAGTTGACCCAAAAATGAAATTTCTGTCATTTATGTTCTGTCCCTCATTCTAAATCTGTGACTCTTCTTTCTTCTGTGGAAGATGAAAGAAGATATTTTTAAAGTTTTTTTTTTAACTATTTTGTCCATAAAATTAAAATCAGTGGGATTTAAAACATCCATTGACTTTCATTGTATAGACAAAAAACACTTATTAGACATTTTTAAAAAATATCCTCATTTGTGTTGCACAGAGGCAAGAAAGTCCCACAGGTTTGGAACGACATGAGAGTGAGTAAAGGATGACAGAATTTGAATTTCTGCAGTGCACTATCCCTTTTACACATGAGTCATGCAGTTAGGTTTTGAAATCCAAAAACATTAAGTTAATAATTAAAGTTTGGTTTACCTGCTCAATGGTTAAGTTCTTGTCTGGTCCAGTTAGGAATGGAATGAGAAATGGTTCTAAAGGCTTTACTGTGCTGAAGAACCCATAGATGCATAACAGAGAAGTGGGATACTTCCAGTCCCTCATCCACCGCTTCAGAGTCTCCATATTCACAATCTGTAGGTTATTATAAAACGAACACTTAATTTTACTTTTGTTGCATGCACTGTTTACCTTTGCCGGTGTGTGAGATCTGTTTTCATGGAAATACTTTTCCTCTCTTAAGATAATCACCACACACTGAGTGTGAGACTCTCTGTCTGTGTGTGTGTGTGTGTGTGTGTGTGTGTGTGTGTGTGTGTGTGTGTGTGTGTGTGTGTGCGTGTGTATATGCTGTAAATGAGCAACCAGTGAGCAAAGTTCTGCTTAGATTATTCAGATTACACCTTAATTCTGAGCATTACTGTTATTCACCAGATAAAGAAACATGCAATAGCCAAACAAACCCTTCCTATTTTAAAGGGGTGGTTGATTATGATTTCACTTTTCTAACTTTAGTTAGTGTGTAATGTTGCTGTTCGAGCATAAACAACATCTGCAAAGTTACAACACTCAAAATTCAAAGCAAAGGGAGAGATATTTGCTTTTAAAGAAATTGCTCTTTAAGGACAACAACAAACGGCTCGTAGGGACTAACGTTACAGGACATTCCTCCCGGGTTAGTGACATCACCAACCCTAAAATTTACATAAACCCCCGCCCCCGGAAAAAAGATTTATAGATTATCAAGGCAGAATATGCTAATCAATGACTAGAAGATAACTACACATAAAGTACATAAATTCATCAACTAACCATTCAGAAATGTCCTGTTGCAATCTACACATTGTCACTTCTTCTTGGGTCTCTCCGTCATTGTCTGACTCGGGTTTGAACATAAAAGGCTAAAAGTTTTATAAATTGTCAGTGCATGGCAAGCTGTTGAAGTTCCGCCCTCTGTGCCGGGTGCAACAGCTCATTTGCATTTAAAGGGACAGACACAAAAACTGTGCGTTTTTTCTCACCCTCAAAAAGTGTATTTTTTTTGTTTGTTTGTTTGTTTGTTTGTTTGTTCACATACATTGTTTATTTCCTTAATTTATTTGTGTTTGTTTATAATTCCTTGCTTTGACTAACTTTAAACAGCATACTTCACTCATGACTTCACTCACAAACTTCTGATTCTTTAGGCTTATATTTTGAATTCACTTAATTTAATTTTACTTTATTTTACTTTATTTAATTATTATTATTTTTATTCTGTTATTTTCGCATATTTCTTGGGACCTTTATTTTGAATTCGTGCACACTTCTGATTCTTATGGACTTTTATTTTAAATTTCTTCCTGCTTCCTGCTTCAAATTGGTTTCTCGTGACAAATCCTATGACATTTGGATTGTGGATACAAACACCAGCAGGTTAGAAAAAGACACACATTTGATTCTAATCGCTTTTTCAATACAATTACTGTGCATAATTAATATCAAAACATACGCGTTAAACAATATCATCATAATTTAACTAAAAGCAATTTACAGCAAAACGTAAATGCGTATATTAACTAATTGCCTAAATAGCATTTATCGACATTTGTCATGGAAGTGCTATGATATTCCTTTAAGTACTTTAGAATACAGTGTAAATGTATGTAGTGTAAATGGTAATCATTACATGGTACCATGGTATTTAAATGTATACTGACACCATACTATACCATGGTAAAGCTTACTGAGTAATCAACTGATTTAAACATGTATCTTCCAGGTGTGCAATCATGGCAAGCAACAAATTCCAAATCGTGGTACAGGGAGAAGCATCAGAAACTGATTCGGATGATGAAGTGTACATCACCTCTGCCCCTCCTGTCCATGCATCATTATCATCATCATCATCAGGTATGAAGGTGGCAGGAGAAGCGTCCGAGACCGACAGCGAGGATGAGGAGGAGAGAGCGTGCAGACTGGCCTCTGAAAGCCAACAGCAGATGCTCCGCAAAGATCTGCCTCCACTCATCGTGATCAGAAACACACCTGCGACCGTGTGCGGACAGGAGGACAGATCGTCGCCTGTGTCCAGACCTGACTCGGGTCGCTTTAACTCGTTACTTCAGCAGAAACTGCTGGAGAGCAATGCACGACTGTGCACTGACATCAACCAAAGCATGAAACAGGTGTATCAGAACGCTGCCAGGGACATAAGACAGGCCACCACTCATCTCAACAACTCTCAGACAGGCATCATCAACGCGTCCCACAGCATTAGACTCATTCTAGAGGACCTGAAGTTCGTGTCTGAGAAGATTGACATCATTACGAGCTGTCATCTGCTGCCGGACATCACCATGCCAAACCCCGTATCTGGACAATCGTAATCTAATGCTTGAGAGTAAGTTGAGACAGCTTTAAATGGCATATGGGCCCGTTGTTGAGGGTCCAATAAAAGCCACAACTTGGATACATTTTAATGATTTTCTTGGATGCAGCATGAAGTGTGGAATCTGTCAGTAGCCCTAGTCATTGACCAACATGGCCATGATTATCAGTGATCAGTAATAACATGGAAATTTGTTTGGGCTGATTTGCTGAAAATAGAGAAAATTAATATATAAGAATATATAAAAATAAAAAAAAGGTTAACTTGTCTGTTGTGTAAACTAAATTTCTCTTCTTTTTTTAGCATATAGGTTGAAATATACATCTGATTTAGGGAATGTAACTAGTCAGCATTTATTTCTATTTATCTTTTAGTTCATGTAAAAAATATAATTTAAATAAATAAAATATAATTATTATTGAAATAATAAATAATGCAGGTCATAAATAAACCGTGTGTAGCAATATAATAAATAAATGTTTAAAGGAAAGTATATATTTAGGGGTTGTGACTAGTCACCATTTCTTTACATTTTTATTTTACCTTTTGGCTTTTTTGCAATTCAATTTCCTGCAGTTAATGTAATAAATAATATTTTAATTAGATTAATATTATTACTAAATAATATAATATTAAATATTTCAGGTAATAATAAACTATATATATATGCACACACACACACACATATATATATACAGTATATATATATATATATGTGTGTGTAGGTGTGTCTATATATATATATGTCACACTGAAGGTCACTGCTGTTACTATATGTCAAATTGCCAAATATGAGTTTAATTTTTTTTTTTCACTTGCTGCATATTTCGCAACAGTATAGATACTTTTTAGCCCTTTAGCCATAAAATTGTCACACACAAAAAATCACTCGTAGCCTGAATTTGATTAGAAACTTTATTGAAACATACAGGTCTGTGATTGGCCACTGGAGAGAAGTTCCAGTGCTGCCGTTTTGGAAATGTATAAATTTATCATGAGTGGAGAATATGAAAGCTTCATAGCACCACCTTGATCGGAATAAACACAAGTAGGAAATGCAGCAGACGCGTACGGCCATTTTTCAAAGGCCTTTTTCCATTAAATCTGCTGCGTACACTTTGAAACGCCTACAGCTGAGTTTGAAAGGCACTTCGATGACAGATTTACCTACATTTGTAACAATCTCTTGTGTACCTACGACTAAATTACTAAATCATAACCTGTTTCTGAACAATAATAAGTCACTGTCCATAAGACTAGCAACACTTTGCTCATTCTATAAAGCTTATCCTTTTACTATACATTTAGCTTCAGACACAATCTTAATCTATTTTTTTTTAAAGACACTGATGCTGCACCTTGATTAGAGTTGTGCAAATTTGAAGCAATGATTAAAGTGATATAAATAAACCTTTGAGAAATGCTTTGATGGACAGTAATTATCACATCAATAGTATCAAAAGAAGTTAAGTTTTCAGACGCTCCCTACAGGCAATCCTGCACATAACACTCACTCACACACATGAACTCTCTCTCTCGCTCGTGTGCAGGTTTTCTTTCACAGAGGCACACTAGTGCAAAGAGACGCGCAACAGATCTGCAAACACTTTCACAGACGTTCAGAAATAAGACATGCTCACACATACAGAAATAAAGTCACATGATGTGATTAGTAGAGCTATTGCAGGTGGCAGTAACATGTATAATAAAAAAATGAATTTTGTTATCTAAAGTATAACACTGAGATTGAAAGGAAATACGGTAATAAAGGACTGATAGTACAGTAATAATGCTACAAAAGCCTTAGTTTCCAGGTAAACAACTAAACCAAACTAAATTGATCTGAAAAAAAGTCTAGAAACAAGTTACAAAAAAAAATCTAAACAATACATTCAATATGAAATAAACAAGAATGAAAAAAGGCACAGGGATTTTTTTTTTTTTAAAGAAAGGAAAAAAATTCTCACATTCTGTTATTGTCATTCATGATATTACAAAAGGAAAACAGTATTTTTTCTTTTTCCAAAATACAGTTTTTCTCAAATGTGCAAAAAAAAGAAAAAAATGACAACTTCCTGTTTCAAAAATGTGAACTCAGTCCTCCAGTATTTCAGCTTACAGTATAAATGAGATTTCAGTTAGAAAGTATTGCACGTTAAAATGTGATTTGTCAAGTCATGATGTCGTTTGATTGATCAGGTCAAGTCCAAGCGGATTTTTCTGACCTTTAAGGATTACATTTGAATCCAGCAAAAGTCATTGCTCCCCACCCACAATTCTTATGACGAATGATTTGAACATGCCCGAACATCCCAATTTGAAGTTTGGGATTATACCCAGAATGCTCTATACTCAATTTCCTTCATTTAGTTCCAAGAAACGATCCAAGAAAAGGTATACATAATTGTAAGATTTTAAAACTATACGCAGAAGTAATTAATAATGACATGTTCCATGATGGGGAAAAAAATAGTTTGGTTAAATTTAGGCATAATAATAATAATGTCCGGTCATATTGTGGGTGAGGTTCAATTGGTCAGATCACCTAAAAGATTAAGTCTGATTGGTTAATTGGTGACGTCTGATTGGTCAGGTCATATAATGAGTGATGGCTCTCAAAGCATAGAGCAGCTCTGCCTGCATTCGAGCCTCCATTAGAAGCAAATTCACATGGACCTGGATAAAGGAAAGAAAGGTAATTGAGAATATCAGCATATTTAGAGCAAAAGTAATGCTGAAAAAATAGTAATAAGTAGTAGTATTTCACATGATAATATGACTTGCCTTTTCGGAGTGTCTGAACTGGTGCCAGTAGCTCTCGTACATGCGGCGAGTGGTTCGCTCTGGATAACACGTCACAGTTTTGATGTAAACCTTCAGACTGCGCTCCAACAACTGATTCACCTCACCGTAGTCGTAATCATCATATCTGCAGACGCACAGAATGAAAACATGTTCATCTTTCAATACTAGGCAGTAAAGAGCTGGACATCAGTACTCCTGGTTGTACTGTGCTATAGTACACTAGGGGGCGCTCTGGGCATACATACTGTACACTATGATTTACAGTCGCATACTACTACCTGTATGCAGACAGTAGGCTAGTGTGTAGTAATGCAATAGAAATTATAACTTTTGCCTTGGCAACTAACTTGAAAAAAAGTTGGAGTACTGAAAAAATAGAATGTAATATGATTGTAAATTACACACTCATGGACGTACCTGATGCCGTACATACAGTGGACGTAGTTGAAGAGAGCCCTGCGCAGCATGCTGGTGTCCACCCCCTCGTGACTGGCCATGTTGTAATAGGTCAGATCACACGCCGTTCTGAACTTATCATCCAATAGGTGACCAATGTCAGAGTACAGCCTGTTGACCAGAGAGAAACCATGATCCTCCCATGAGTAGTCCTACAGAGTGAACAAGATAGAATGATCAATCATTCGTTCTCAATAGGGTATTGAAGCAAAATGCTGTGTATGTGTATACGCGAGGGTAGTTGTCATACTTGTGCTTTAAATGTGGGTGGGTTGTCTTCTCCGTGTCGTGCAAAGTCCTGGTATCCAAACGACGGGTCGTCTACAAACCGAGCCACGGGAGAAGGGGGCACCACTTCCTCATCAAACCCTGAATATGCAAATCACAATATTTTAATACAATATACACAAAACAACAGACTGCAAGATCCTTTTTTGTTTTCAAGCAATAGTTCAAATTCATGCTTTGTTTGACGTCACTGATGACAAATGGCAAATAAAAGTCATACAGGTTTAGAACAGAGTAGAGTAGATGATGACAGAATTTTTCATTTTGGTACCGGTAATTTAATATTAATTCCCACTTTACCACACAACCACAACAGTAACAGGAAAAAAAAACAGTCTAATAGTGTTTTAGTTCAAACATATAATTGGTGTCGAGCGGAAACCTTATATCCCCAAAAACGCTACTTTTCAGGAAATGTGAAAACCGGTGTTGTCAAAGTTTATATTGTGGCTTTATATGTGGTCAGACACTAGCATATGTCATCATATTTTACCAAAATCAAGCTCAAGTGGAGGTTTTTGACCAGTGAATTTCGGCCACATCTGAGGCAGTAAGTGCATCGCATTACATTTTCATCAATTTACGGGTTATAACGTTTACACTAAAGACGTTTATAACGTTTAAATGTAAAGACGAAGTGATACACAGGCTATTTTAGACAGTATTGACTGTGACTCTACGACAAATGATAAAGACACTCTTCTCCGCTCCTCAAACACACAGCATTAGTCTATATATATAGTGTTTCGTGAACAAAGAAAACACTGCACTTATTCAAAGAACCAGTTCTTTATTTATCCTTGCATTGCAAACAAGCAGAGACGCTCCACACTGCGAGCGGAACTTCATTCAAGATTGAGTCGGGCGGATTTATTAAGTTTGACTGACAGTTTGAGGAGCCAATGTAGTTACGAGATTTGGTCACAAGCACTTTTTAATTAGCCAGGGAAAACCCAGACAACTTCCGGCAAATTTAGATTTGCTCTGAAAGTTAGTCTGGCAAAGAGCTCATTCAAGCCCATTTCCAATCCGTCGAAATCGCGGCACCAATCAGAAACGTTGGGGCGGGCTTTACACGATGACGACAGCGTTGGGATTTTGAAGCAGATTTTGTAGCCTACATTACAAAGATGGATGCCGCCGTCGAACATCACTCGTTCGAATCAGCTATCGCGTCTGTTTTAAGCGATTTGAACGTTTCCTTTTTGTTAAAAACCGACCAAAGAACAACACTCTCGGAGATGTTTCCGCCGCTCTGCATACGTCATCTCCTTCATCGCTCTGATTGGTTTTAGGTCTATCCGCGACGTCCGTTGGTGACGCCCCTCTGGAAATGATTTGTCTATGACGCTTTGCCAGACCATAACTCAGGTACAACTGAGAATGGTCTGGTTTTAACCAGACTACTTTTTAATACTTTTCATTGGTTAAATATTTGCAAAAATCCCAAGACAGACATAAAGGGTGACCAATAGTAATGATTTATGACGAAATATAGAGATACAAGGTTTCTGCCAGACAACAACGATATTTAAAAGTTTCAGATTTTATTAGCATGTAATATTATCATTATGCCAGAAAATATGAATAATAGTATAAATTGAAAAAGAGTAGATGGGTAGAAAAGGTATATGTGTTGTAATACCTGCAGACACCACCAGAAGACTCTCTTTCTTTTCTTTCTCAAAGCGAGTGAACATCTCCTCCTCGGACGCATCGTCGTCTTCTCTCTCCTCCAGCAATCGCTTCATTCTCTCCATCAGTGCTTCCAGCTCACTCTAAAATACACAACAATGGAGTTAAAAAAATTACATGCTACTTTTGTCCAAACAAATAAAAAAAATAGCCCTGAATATGCACAGAATATGCATAGAATTAATATGCAGATGAATGTCATAAAACTTTTCAAAAACAACCCAAAAATGTAAAAAATAAAATAAATGTATGTGTATATGTATAATATTAAAATGTATTGCATTATATATATATATATTTATATAAAATTATATAATAATACAACAAATTATTATATATAATAAATGACATTTTATATATTCCACATCATATTTTGCATTAAGAACCATAAGAACTATTCGGGCACATCCCTAACATGGATACTCTGTAATGTTTTCCTACCCCAGTGTTAGGGTTACGCAGGGGGTTCCCGTTGGCTTGGTTGCCGTTTGTTAGGTGACAGGTGCATAAACCCGCCATGGCTCGAGGGCAAAGGTCATCCGTGACCCCGTTGACCTCAGGGTCAGGGTTGACTCCGCTACCAAACACAAAACTAGCCAAGGCATGGAAATGAGCCAACAGTACGACAGCATGAACCAGCTCTGCCAGAGACCAGCTGTGCTCTCCTGTCTTCACCAGAGCCTGAGAAACAAAGAGTGTAAGATCATTAACATTTGATAGAAAATATTTGCATTACATTAAATTTTTCTCAGGAAAGTCATTCAGTGTCCATAACTGTCCACAGTGTCCAAGCGTGTCCAAAAACTGCTATTTAAATGTTTACATTCAACTCATATCATTTTTATTTGGATTGTTGATTATTAAATAAATTGGATTACCTAATTGATTATTAAATAAACTAGTTTTAGTTTAGTTTTGGTGTTTCAGTAAAAAAAAAAAAATGTATTCACAAAGAATTAACAAAATTGGATTGAAAATGCCATGCTTTTATTTGCAAGATGGTATTCGGATGCCACCCTCTGAATTAAACATGCACATAGTGACGTCATGTGACAAACAAATGTAGTGCAGAAATGTTTATTGTTGCATAATGATTGCATAATGCTAAAATAATTAGCTAGAATGCTGAGCAATAATCAAGATCGCTAGTGTGTTACCTGTATATGTTGCTTTGTAATGAGCCAGGGTCTGTGCGCGAGAATCTTGTTAATCTCGTTGAGGTTGCGGAGTCGTTGCGGGCAGAACTCCAGACCTCTCAGCCAATCAGAACACACGCCTATCTGCTCGAACTCCTGCATGTGGTGACACACCAGCGAGGAACACTGATGCCGCGCTGCAGCCTGCAAAATACAGACAAAAATCACTCATAAAACTATTCCAGTTAAATAAAGTCTCCCTTGAAAGTGTTTCTGTATGCGTTTGTACCATTATAGCGATGTAATGTCTGTAGTGGAGTGGTAGGGGGCCGTCCATCCTCAAGAGGTAATAGTGGCAGCGCAGGAAGGCTTGCAGATAATGCGGGTGGAGCCCCATCACCTGCGTCAGGTTGTCCACGCGGCCACTGAACTCTTCGTCTAAGAACATCACTGTGGAGTCACTCAGAGGCATCTGGGGTTGAGGATCAGAACATGGGACATTTCACAACAGTGCAAAATATTGACTATATTTTTCCTCACATAAAAGTACTGTGGTCAGATGGTAATGGAAATTAAATATGTGGTGTATAGAACTAAATTGTGTCTGATTTGTAATATGAGAAGGCCCCAATATGCAATGCTATGAATCAGAGCCAAAAAGATTTGAACTCTGACTCAGGTTAATCTTAATTCAACGAAGGGACAGATGCTATAATTCAATTTACAATCCAAATACACTTTCTTAGATCTCCCGGCACGCTTAACTCGGATTCAATGAAAATTATCTCCTGAACTGGCTGAACTCAAAACAAAAGGGAAATGAACACCAGCTGACTCGAGAAAGAACGATTACAGTATCTGAGTTGGGTGAACTCGAATTGAGTGAGAGAAGAGAGAAAAAGTGGTAATATTGTGGTATACTGACATATACTATGGTACTGAATGAACCATATGAACTATGTATGAACGATTCAAAAGAAATTAATACTTTTATTTAGTAAGGATGTTAAATTGTTAAGATTTAAATTTCAAATAAATGCTGTTCTTTTGCACTTTTATTCATCAAAGTATCCTGAAACAAACGTATAACGTATACACAAAAATATTAAGCAGCACAATAAAAATATTTCACAATATTACTGTTTAATATTGTAATCAAATAAATGCAGCCTTGGTTAACATAAAGACTTCTTTTTTTTTTTTTTTACATTAAAAAACAAAATCTTACTAACCCTAAAAGATCACGGTTTTAAAAAACAAAATCTTACTAACCCTAAAAGATCACGGTTATACCATGGTATATGTCCAAAACAATCATGGTGTAACCATTGCACCATCTCTGAACCAAGAAATGCAACTTATAATACTTTGTTATTAGTATTACCTCATTTTCTGGAATAAATGAGCTTGGTCCTGTTGATATGCGTCTTGACATCTTCATTCCTTTTTCCTGAGAAACAAGAACATTTATGATGAATATGATGAAAATATCCAGACAATACGATTCAATTATTATTATTATTATTTTTACTGAAGTGTGCATTTTTATATTAAAATACTATTTCAGCCAATTTCAGGTAAATATGCAGAGAAAACTATAAGTTGTTAAGCCATCTGTAGCTTGATTCTGCACAGCAACAGTCGCTCAACCAATGGCGTGCGTTTGGGGGCGGGTCTATCTGTTTATTCAACCAATGGCAGGCAGGTGAAAACTTGTTTGAAAGCAGTCATTATAAGAAACACTACTACCTCAAAAACTGTCTAATAAGCATAAAGTAAAGTAAATTCCTAGATAGATAATGTGATAAAAGTATTTAATAGTGTGTTTAATGTTTATATTTTAAAGGGCACAACCTAGTTTTTTCAGGTCGATTTTGAGTCTCCCTGCTGGGGTTTATTTTGTAAATCTCTCCCAGTGTTTTGTTCCTGTTACAGTGAAAAGTAAGGAGTTCCACGAATGCTGTGTTTGTATTTTATCTATCTATGTGTGTGTGTGTGTGTGTGTGTGTGTGTGTGTGTGTGTGTTCGCTAAACTCTCTATAATGCCAAGGGTGTAAGGGTCACTTCAGTTCAGTGACCCGAGGACTGGACACACCAAACCTCTTTCCCTGTCATTCTCACCCTCTCTTGCACTTTATCTATCCTTCCTTCCTTCTCTTCGAGGTTTGTGTTTGTTCAAGATATCCCACCCCTTACCCCTAACCACCACAAATACACAAACAGTGTTGTATTTGCGGTCAAAAGTGTTTTGCCTCCACTCTGCGGCCTTCGTGTAAACCTGTGCTGTTTATAAAACACTAACCTGGAACTACCAAGATTCTGCACAGACACAGACACTAAATCTGATGCACAAGGTGCTCAAACATGTGCTTTTCTCTCTATTTGCAGTCGAGTTGTTTTGCAAGGATGCAAAAACTGTGAGAGGAAAGATTGAGCAACACAAAATACAGGGAGAGTTTTGTTTTGGGGGCTTGTTGGTTTCTTACATCCACTGATCTGTTGAAAGAGAACAAGACACTACATATAAAATAAAGAGAGTAAATAGACTGTGCAAAGAAAGAGGGAAAGCGGCAAACAGAGGGAGGGCAGAGGAGGGGAAAAATACAGAAAAGTCTTTTGAAAGAGAGGCCTCCAGCATTAAGCAACTCAACTGAAACACATTCACAGTGTTTGCACAGTGCACACCATTGTTGTTATTGCAAACTCAAACTATTACAAACTGTTTCATTCAGTAGTGTACATTTTAATTAAGCAAATGCTATGAGTCTTCACCCTCTTGTGTGAGTGTATTTTTACTCACAAGAAGCCTTTCTCTCATCTCTCTTACATAATAATCAGTCAAACATATAAAGCAAGAGAGAACAGATATGGATAAGACAGAAGGAGAACCTCGGAATATGTGAAACTAATTTGTTCTATGTGCTTAATGTAATGCTTGTGTGTATTTGCAATGAGGCTGCACTGATTGGCCTTCCCTACTTGTTTAACACACACGGAAACATCGACATGGCGCTGTGACCATTGTGACCTGCACCATGAAAACGCATCAATGCTCCTGGCCAATCAAAGAACAGCGTACTATCAGCACTGATAATGCTTGAGACTGTCATTCTGTGGCACCATGGTAACAGGTCTGTTGTCATAACAGCAGCATGAGTGTCCATGGATAGAGGCAGCGTCTTCCTGGGACAGTGTCGAGATTTTAAAAAAGATTATCTCTTCAATAAGAATAATACGAAAGTTAATCAAAAACTAATTTCTATGGTTTTAAAATTAGGAGGAATGTAATCGGGCTCATAAAAAATATGAGACAAATATTTTAAATATAAAAAAACATAATCTTCGCATATGAATACTTTTTTTAATACATTTCAATAAAAAATATTGAAAGGCTATTGACAAAGAACCAAATATCAATTTATGACAACAAAAATGTAAAATCATGCATCATGTTCTGCATTCAATTGAAGTGTGGAAAGAACTACTCATTGGTAAAAGTAAAAAAAATTATCATTAATTAAAAAACTTAAGGCCTTACAAAAGTTGACCATAAGCCAAATATACCTTTACTAATGTATTTTTGCAATCTTTTTTAAAGAAACTGTACACAACACTAACAAACTTTAGCAACTAGTATTTTGTCAGAAAATATGAGCACCCTTTGTTTTCTTTTACTATTAGGCCCGTTCACACCAAAAATAATATTTATAAAGATAACTACAGTATAATTATAACTATATAGCGTCCACACCAACAGACGATAATGTTCTGTTCATTAGAAGCACATGCTGCAGTTTTGTTGTATGTCACTTTAAATGCTTTAAATGCATTAAAGCAGGATGGATTCTGATTGGCTGTCAGTGTTTTTATCATTCATCAGCTGGAGAAAATCGTTCTGAAAGTGATTCCAACGATATAGATAGAGATAACAAGATTTCTCTGTGCCCTTAGTTGTGGTGAGGACTCTGCTATACTCTTTTATATTTAGTAGTACGATAGATTTTTAGAACTACTTCTTTATCTTTATTGTTAATGTTAAAGTTATCATTTGGCTGCACAAGTTCCACGTTACTTTTACAATCGTAGTATTACCACTTTAACCATGTAAACATACTAGAATATGCACAGTAGTACTACGATTTCATGACTTTAACTATTATTTTCAAGGTTACATAAAACCCACTAAACTGCAAATCTAAGGTTACCACCCAAACTATTTTAATTTGGTTGCAGAGTTAATTTTTAAAAGTGTGTTTTTTATGGTTGTATTGTATGCACAGGTCATTTCATAAAAATCAAGGTTGTGGTTTTAAACGTTAAACAGCCACTCCTTGATCTACAAAAGCCTGTTAAAAAAGCTCAAATGGACTCTGGATTACAGAGAAGGTGTCTGAACAGTCAGTAGGCCTACTCTCGTCTCGCCCGTAGACATGTCAGGTTTTCTCTATTCAATATTAAAGGATGCTATTGTTCCAGGCCTTCGCATTGTTGCCCAGTCAAGCTTTTGAGTTGAAATGGCTGTCCAGGAATCCTATATGCTTCCTTCCCTTCCAAGACCTGGCGCTCTGCCTTCAGCCGTAGATGCCAAAAGTGTGTCTGTCAGAGCCTGATTGTGTGTTCTATGTTCTGGGGGAAAGTGCAGAAATCTTTGTCTCTATGACAGCATGGGTATGAGTAGAAAAAAAGCACACATAAACACACCAATACAGTACTTACATAAGTCCGCTTTGTGCTCAGTTTGAACAAATGAGGCCTACCCTGACTGAGTTTGAAGAGAGAGACATAAACTGTATAAAATATGGGAGAGAGAGAGAGAGAGAGAGAGAGAGAGAGAAAGAGGAGAGAGAGAGATGTTAACAAATATTCAGCGTCTCAGCGAGGATTTGGATTAGGTTTGATCTCCAGTGAAGTTTTTAACGGGATGTAATGAGGAGAGAACGGAGGGTTATTATGGAGCGGTTTACTGGGGATTACTTTAACCAGTTCTTAGCATGGTAAGATCCAGGATAATTTGAATTGAGGATGATGTGTAGTTTATAGTGAAATACAGGTCTTAATAATAGAGCATTCAAAATGTGTTTTAGATTAAACCAGTAAAACCATCTTTGTTACGGAAATAAAAATAAAATATAAATATTAGATGGAAAAACTTGACTTAAAAAACATAATTTTTGTCAACAAACTAATCAAACAAGTAAATTAAATACTAAAATTACTGAAACTAAAACGGGAAAAAAACAAAACAAATTAAAGCTAAATAAAAATATATTTATTTAAAAAATAATAAAAATGGCAAAAGCTAAACTTCATATAAAAACAGAAAATAATTAATTAATAATAATTAATTAAATAATTTATAACTTAATACAAATAATTAATAAATACTATAATAGTATATAAATAATACTAAAAGAGCACTCTCAATACTCTGCACAATTTGGTATCATCATGTACCACAAATGGTGC